TACTTTTATTTTGTTAGTAGTTTATAAATAAAATATAAGGTATTTAATACTACCTCCTTTTTAAAATAAGTGTCGTTTTGATTTTTTTGATTCATCCATTTTACTATGTATCTAGACATAAATATGTCTAGATACATAGCAAAATGGATGAATAAAAAAAGTCAAAACGACACTTATTTTAAAAAGGAGGGAGTATTGATTTCTAGGCCCGACTAGGCCCCGCCTAGGCGCTCTAGGCGCTACGCCTAGCGGGCGCCTAGCGACTTTTAGAACACTGAACAAATGCACTGGGAGACCACTAAAAGAAATAGTCTAGAAACACAACTAAAATCCTCAAGGACAGAGGCTAGCACCCAAGGCTAGGAACCACTGAACCAAAAACCACATAATCAACCAACCAAATCAGAACTACTCCAGAAAAACACCACAAGCACTATAAGGAAGACAAACAGAAAGAAAGAAAAACACAACAACTACGAGTAATTAAGAAGCAGACATGGATTTTGCCATTCAGTCCACGCTCCTTTCACAATTACTGCCTCTGGTTTGCTTTCATTTTGGAACAGCCATAGGCCCATAAATTCCTCGATCGCCATAGCCACTATAGAATGTATGTGGTAAGTTGAATCCTCGCTTCTGAAATGTCTGATTTATCTACTGAGCACACTTGCCACCACCATTCTCTGAATTTGCAGTTTTCCACTTATATGCCACCTCAATATAAAGGTGCAAGCTTCCAAACTTTCCTAACCTTACTTCATTTGAGGAAAAGATCTTCACCACAGTTTCTGCAGATCACATCAATCTCAATGCCTTTTCTTCTAATAATCAAGCTAACTGGCAGCACATCCGAAAAGCACTTCCAGAGAAAGTGCTTAATTTTTCCCTTCACTCTGAGTTTTCAACTTCTTGTTCTTACCTCTTTGTTTAGCCTGTTTGTAGCACTCCCTTCAGCCCTGTCTAGCTTCAAAATTTTCAAAGCCATTAGATAAGAGTAAGACTCAACCACTGAAAAGTTCCCTTTTTTTATTGTATCTAATAATTGCCAAATACATTTATCATCACAGAGTGGGTTAAGAGACACAATGTTGATTATGGTTTCACTATCAGAGTTGTTAAAAATATTCCTTACCAGCTCCTTGTTTCCATCTCCTCCCATCATCTTGCATAAGATCTTTTACCCAGATTAGAGTCTGAAATTGTTCGATAGTTGAGGATAATTGTGGCCCAACAAAGGAACCCAACTCTGGTCTGAGATCTTGGTTTGTTATCTACTTCTGATTTCTCTCCTAAAGCCTTCTTTGAAGGTGAGTAGACACTCCAGCCAGTTGTGGCTCTCCAGAGTCACGAAGATGAGGGCTTTTTCTGAGCATCCACCAAACTAGAGTTAGGGTAGTATCTAGCTTTAAGAAGTTTGCTAACCAGTAGCTCAAGTTGAGTAGTAATCCTCCACAACTGCTTAAGTATGAGGGATTCATTGAAGAGTTTGAAGACTTGGAATCTTAGACCTCCTCCTTAGAAAGTGCAATAGAATCCCAACTCTTCCAATGAAGTCCAGCAACTTGTTCATTGCCTTTGCTCCACCATAAATGGGTTGTTATGTGGGCTAGCTCTTTGCACAGACCTGCAGAAAGTTTGAAAAAAGACATGGAATATACTGGTAAGGCATTGATGACTTCCTTTATAAGAACCTCCCTTCTTGCAGTTGAAAGATACTTGTTATTCCAACTAACTAGCCTTTTCCTCACTGATTGAATAATCTAATTAAAATCATTAGTACTTTTAATTCATTCATTTTGTGTCATATACATAGGGATATACATAGTACATCAGTAATGAGCTAATGGACTACTAGTCCATACCTGCTAAATTTGTATCTAGGTAATGTTCGGAAATTTATAATTTAAACTAACATCAACTTTAATCATTATTACATCGTTGTATTTTATTTGTAAAATTCTAACCATTATTACACCAATGCCAAAAAAAAAAAAAAAAAAAAAAAAAA